ATCTATATTCTCGGGATCCATTCGTCATGTTCATTTTTTTGTCGCTAATAGTATTCTCGGTTCTAAATAGATATATATAGATACTCCAGATCTATTCGTCATGTTCATATTTTTTCCCCAATTTCGAGATGATAGGTAGCGGGCCCGATTATGAACTCTAGAGAAAGGCCCAGAAGTGTAAGTATTGGTCCACATTCCATAATGTTTTTTTTTCTAGCCCATAAATAATCCTGGGAAAAAATAAAAGAAAAAATAAGTTAGTTTAGTACTTTTAATATAAATGTGTATTTTATTTTCTTGACATACTGTGGACAGAGATATATTATAACCCTTACATACATATAGACTAAATGACAAATTGCTATATGTTTAGAAGTGCACATGTGCAAACATACCTATACATTAACCCTTACATACACCAGAAACCCAATGTGTTGACATCGTTATGTAGGTTGAACTATACATTAACAATACAAGGGTAGCCCAAATGGGACTCAAATAGACCGAGCATGGTCATGTACATTGCAAAATACCAAAAGAAGTAGATTAGATAGCGGAAGTGAAGCAGCGGTGGTCCAACGTACTCCACAGGAATCGACGGGTGAACCTAGGTCCCGACTCCACCGTCTTAGACATCTCTTCATTAGCATAGTTCTCATATAGTTAACTCCAACTCCTTTCTAAAAGATTTAGTTAAGTAAGGTGAGTACCAACCGTACTCAGCAAGCCACCACTATAGAATGCATTTAGTGCACACAGGAATTCAAGGAGTTCGAGGTGAAGAGAGACGAACGTCCTTATACAGGGGATGCCAGGGCATGGCTTCGGTGCACGGCGGTGTGCCTGCGACCAGCGCGGCACACGGCTGGGGTAACTGTAATAGATGTGTTTTGTATATAACTATAGATGGAAATTGTAAAGGGAATTTGTAAAGGGGATTGCACAACTGTAAATGATGTATATTTGGACTTTTGATTTGGCTCTGGGTCGAAATTTGGAACTGGGGTTTGGAACTGCAAATATGGACTTTTGGTTTAGCCCGCACTCGGATCGTTTGGGTGGAATGGTCAGATTCAATTCGGCCGCTTAGTCGCCTAAGTGCTCAACTTAGGGGTTTTTTGTGATCACTCGAGCGAATGAAAAGACAACAATGCCGAGGGTTCTAGAAGTGACGCTTGGCATACAAATCCGTTGGATGCGGTAGGGTTTCAAGGATAGAAGTATAATCGATAATGTATGAATCAACGTACGGCAATTAAATCCGTCGAATGATTTTAGAGTTTCAAGCGAAAGGCCTTACTCTGTAATTTCGAGTCAAAGTGATAGGGGGGAAAGAATCCGTGGAGAGCCGAGTCGAATAGCCGAAGCAGGTTTTGATCCGATCGCAAGGTTCCAAGGGTTCGGGGAAAGAAACGACATTGCGAAAAAAGGAAAGGATCTTGGGATTTCGATTCGCTTAGCATCGAAGCATTTAGCGAAAAGGGAAGACGTCGATCGGAGGATGTCCTTTAGGCCGAACGATTTAATTGAGGTAATCCAACGATTCAAGGGAGGGACGGGGAATTGTAATTGTATAGGAGGGTTGAGAGGATAGAGAAGGGATTTTACCTTGAGAGGCAATTCTGCAAGAACTACTAAGAGTTCGAATAATACCAGACACTAGAACAATTGTTTCGAGAGGGGTTCGATTGAGAGGGAGAATCGAACTACAAAATTCGAATCCTGAGGAATTACGGCAAGAGGGTGGATTCACAGGGATGGATTAAATCGAGATCTTGGCATGAAAATACAAATGCACACAATTAACATAAATTCCATTATGCAGGTCGGCTAGGCCTTTCAATGAGGAAAACTAGACTTTTCTGTGAGTTCTTTAGAAATAAACTCTTTTAAGATTTTAGTTTATAAATAGAGTTTTGCTAGTAAATTCCTTCTAGTCTTTATTTGTAAATAATTCCCAAACACTTATAATTTCAAAATAGGGTTTTCAGAAGTTAACTAATATTAGCCCTTATTTGTAAAAATAGTTTTCTCGGGAAAATATCTCTCAAAGTATGTTTTCGAAATATTTAGTATTTGTTTTTATTTATAAAACAAATATCTCAAATAGGTTTCTAATTCATAGAAAAGGGTTTTCAAAAAGACAAATGGTATTCGCAAATATTTTCTTAATTAATATATTTCATAATCATGGTTCTTTTAATAAATAAGATTTGAATCCAAAATATATTTTGTTCCTAGATTTCCGTCCTCGTGGTCCAAGCGCAACCGAAAAATGGGAGATAAAATCCAACATGACGGATTTTGAAAAAGATTTTTGATTATCCTGAATTTTTAATTTCACAAATCAAAACCGAAATTTTCAGGGTGTTACATAGCCAGCCCCAGGACCAGCCTTGATCTTGACATTATTAGCACCGACCCCTCCAAATTAAAGCTGGTGGCAAAGTGAGGCGCGGCCTGCAGAAATATTAGGCACAGTTGTATGTATATTACTAGTATATATACAGATTAATTATGTTAATGAGCATGTACGTACGGTAGTATGCATCGCTGCCGACTCAGATGCCCCGGCGGTTTCTTGAAGCGTGGAGACTTCTCGGGCGACGGTATCAATGTAGGCAAGCGAGGTGAATCGAATGGAACCGAAGTGGAACGGACATGGGGGCGGTTGAAGCATATGATATTTTTATTTTATTCATTAAAATATTTTAATTTTTTTTATTTTTAAATTATTACAGAATCTTTCTCTAATATTTTTTGGGAGGGCACTTTTTATAAAAGAACTATACTATGAGAAGTGTTTTTTATGATGCGGGATATAATTATTAATCAATGCTAACGTTTGTATGAAGAAGGGTTGACTATTTTGCAAGGGGGTCACCTGCAAATGGTATAGGTGACATTTTACAGGTTACTCCTTGTCCTCCTCTGGGATGGTTGTAAGGAGTGTTCACTAAATGGTTAGTTTTACTCTGTGCGGCGGTTAGTATACGCTATTATATGTCAAAGTCATAAAAAATTGTTCTTAGGAGCGTTGGTGGTTTAAATATGTACTACTTTGAAAATAAAAGTTATTTTTAAAATATTTTAATAGATAAAATTTAAAATAAAAATCCGAGAGAGCACTTATCTAATGGCTAATAGAAAGATGTCTACTAATATGATGGTTGGAAACTCCTGTGAAGGCTCTGTTTGACTAGGCTGTAAAGCTTGGCATATTAGCAGTATGTAAAACAAGATAACTCATTAGCATATGACTAATTGAGTACTAATTACTACAAACATAAAACATGGATTTATTTAATTTTCTTAAAGAAACTTCTATAAGGGGTAGAAAAAAAAGCTCATGTCTCAGATCAGCTTGGAGCAAGCTAGGCCTTTAGCTTGCGAGCTTAATGAGCCAACTTACAAGCTACTCGTTTAGCTCATTAGTATTAAGTATAAGAGATCACTTCATATGTATGCTGTGCTTCCTATTTAGTGTTTAGTCATTTAATTACATCCAAATTATTTATATTTAGTAGGTTATTTATTAGTCAATGATTATTATTATATTTGTATATGATAAAATGGTAAAGTTGAAATTATAAGAATGATATAAATGCATTAACGAGCCTAACGAGCTTAGCAGTTCTAAGAAACATGCTAATGGAAAATGAGAAAATTAACATAGCCAAAATCACTTCCGAACGGGCCTTGTAAATACTCTCTGTGGAGCACCTGTAAGTCGTCGTTCTATAAACTATACTTGGGCGTACAAACTATAAACTAATCTCAAACATGACTTAATTGCCCTATATTTATATTGAGTTGGAGAAATGGATCACTTATTTACAAGGTAACCACTATCGAGATACTATATAGAATCGTTTTCTATTTGTAGTATCATGGAATCGGTATACTATAAGATTTTAGAATGTACATATTTTATATCAAATATATATTATATTAGATAAATTAAACCATATAATATTAATGTTGATAAATTTAATTGGTTTTTATGAAAACTTGAGCATATTTAATCACAATATTTTTCAATCCATTTTATGTTATTAAGCAGGATCGCAGTGATCGTAAAATCGGGATAATAACTAAAATTTTATAGAATCATGTGAAAATGAATAGTAATATCGATATACTATGAAAATTGATACTAAATAGGACCGATTTTGTTTCGTCATTGCACTATCGTAAAATACTGAAATACAGATCCCAATACTAATTAATAACCTTGCTTATTTTTAAGAGATGCCCCAACTACAATAAAGATCTCAAAACATAAAAAATAGCTCTATATATATATATCGAATGAGGCTCTCTTATGTTATGTACGTTAGAAGGACATGGGCCACTGACATGTGGGGCCATGATGGTGGGCCCCACCCATAAGGGACACATGTCCCTCTGAATTTACGTCATATGAGCTGCTTCCATAGATATCAGATTAGAACAGAGATGGGAGAGTAAGGCCCTGTTTAGATTCCACGCAAAAATTTTACATCCTCTCACATTAAACGTTTGAATACATGTATAAAGTATTAAATATAGTCTAAAAAAATAACTAATTGCACAGATTGCAACTATTTTGCGAAACGAATCTTTTGAGCCTAATAGCTCCATGATTTGAGCACCACATTAAACATTTGCTAATGATGGATTAATTAGGCTTAATAAATTCGTCTCGTGGTTTATTGACGGATTCTGTAATTAGTTTTTTATTAGTGTCCAAACACCCCATGTGACATCCTATATAATATCCAATATAATACGCCAAAACGTTACACCCCTTTAACACCCCCTAAAAAGACTTGTATTTGAAAGCACGTGCACATGACCGTTGCTTGACCGTTACCCAAACACCCCATGCGGCATCCTATATAATATCCAATATGGCACGACAAAACTTTACACCCCTTTATCTAAACACCCCACTTGTATTTGAAAGCACGTGCACATGATTGTTGCTTGAATGAATGACGTGAGGCCACTCGCATATATGCATGCAACGGAACACATGATTTTGGCTAATTAATTAATACTCACAGATTAGAACCTACTACTTCGGTTTCAATCATGAGTTTCCATGCCCAATTTTAATGTTCGGCTTATTTATTTTTTTTATAATTACGCTAGTTTTACACCTCTGCTCAATCAGTCATCACTCATCAGAGAGCTCAGGCAGAAACACCCAACGAGCTAGCTATATAGCTATAGCTACATATGCAGCGCGCGAGGCTAGCTAACGAGCTAACTAAACCAATGACCAATCAACCATCGATCTTTGCCTTTGGTTGATCATCAGGAGGTGGCGGCCGGCGACGCAGCCGCTGGAAGAGGGCCCTCTGGCGGAGGTTCTCCCGGAGGCGGACACGGTCGTGGACGGCGTCCGGCACGGCGCGGGACACGCACCACTGCAGCCGGTGGCAGAGGTTGGGCATGCACACCGCGCCGTGCCCGATCCACCGCGCCGCCGCCGCCGCGTAGGCGTCCGCGGTCGGCACGAACAGCGGCGAGAGCCACCGCCGCTGCCGCCGCTTGCTCCCCTTGGCGGCGGCGTCGTCGCCGCCGCCGCCGGCCTTCGCGACGCCGGAGGTCATGTTGGTCGCCACGAACAGCGGAGCCTGCAAGCATGCGCGTACATCGCGTTCGTGTGTACCATTAGTTAATAGGACTATCACAGTTATGACATAAAAGAGGGTTTATGGACACAGGTACTTCAACCCTCCTCACGACTTAGAAAGTTGAAAAATTTATCGATAAATTTTCTTCTAAAAGGTTATCAAACGTAAATTTAGTACAATTATAATATACTCATATTATAACTTACATATAACTACAATATAAATGATATATAACTTTTTATATAAATTTAAAACTGTTAGATTTACTTTAAATTTGTGTAAGTGGAGAAGAAAAAAATCACAACGTGCACATAAAGAGATTTGGTCCCATAACCTCGCTTCGTGAAAATAGCATATTACTGCAAGATTTTAATATACAAGTTGTATTGTATTTATATACAACTTACAATATAATTATTCTATATTTGTAACTGTCAAATTTTTAAAATAAAATTTGTCAACATATGTATAACAAAACTGTTCATTAATAGATTATGTTTTATATACATATTCTGCACCTTGAACGATCATCAAGTGACAAAAAGTTATACTATGATGATATGGCTTATCTCGGAGTATCAGGTATGGCTTAAATCTGTCGTTCTTTATAACTTCAAAACTAAGCTCATGTTTGAGTTCACTGAAGATAAAAATTAAGTATGAACACGTGAAATAAGAAAACTATTAGCGTCTGATTTATAGATAGTTTTACAATAAATTAATAAAAGTATACGTGATTTTATAAAATTTACTCATATAAATATATAGGATCGGCGCCTTTTGACTTGAATCAAGTTCCAACTTCCAAATCAACACATGGTTGTTTGTTTACTTTCGCTGTTACACTGTCACTCACCACGTGAATATACTGCAGTTTCACATGCGTGGATCAGAGGATGGACCCTACTAATTAATGACAGTTGGGCTGGCAAGGATTTGACGGTACGGTGTGCATCAAATTAATTGTTGGAACTTAAGGCTAGTTGGTAAAATAAAAAATTTTGGGAATCACATCGGATATTTGACCGGATATTAGAAGGGGTTTTTGACACGAATGAAAAAACTAATTTCATAACTCGCCTGAAAACCGAGAGACGAATCTTTTGAACCTAATTAATCCGTCATTAGCACATGTGGGTTACTGTAGCACTTATGGCTAATCATGGACTAATTATGCTCAAAAGATTCATCTCGCGATTTACATGCAAACTGGCAATTAGTTTTTCTTTTTATCTAATATTTAATGCTCCATACGTACGTTTAAAGATTCGATGTGATGTTTTTGGAGCTAAACATGCCCTTAAGGAAAAGTAGAGGAATTCTAAAGGATTTGGATCCATTGAAAAATTTCCCTACATGGTTTTTAGGGAATATAGGAATTGCTTCTCCAAAATCCAAATTTTTTTAGGGAATATAGGAATTGCTTCTCTAAAATTCTTTGAAATTCCTATGAAATTGCTCACTTTGAAGGAATTTTAGAAAAAAAAACTAACATAAGGCTTGACCACATGTTTTCTCATCCTTATGACTCAAAGTTCCTTTACTTTTCTTATGGTATTATCTAGGGCTGGGCACTTAGCACTTAGTTTATATGGTTTTCTCGGTTCGGTTTCTTAAGTTTGCTGAAAGTTCGGTTTTCAAGAAATACGAACCGAATTTGCTAAGAAAAAAAAGGAACTAAAACCGAGCAAAACAAATCGAACTACTTCGGTTTGGCCTTTTCGGTTTACCCAAGGGGCATTTAAATTTTTTCCACTTTTAAATGTGGCAATTAGGCATTTGCCACTTGCTGTCTATAACATGTGGGTCCTCATGTGTTAATGACATATGATTCCAGTGATAAATCTTTAATTACCATTTATAAGAGTGTCTAATAGGTAATTATTCCTAAATTGGGGATTGAATTGATTAATCCTACATGAAGATACAGATGCGTTCAGTTTTTATGGGCTTATCGGTTTCTAGCAACATCAAACCGACAAGGGTGTGTTTAGTTCACACCAAACTTTTCCCCAACTCCCAATTTTTCATCACATTCAAAACTTTCCTACACACATAAACTCCTAACTTTTTTCCAAACTACCAACTTTCCTCAAATTTCTCTCCAATTTCAGAAACTAAACACAGCCAAGTTTGGAAAAAGGAAAACGAAAGACCGAGAAAACCCGACTGTTCGGGTTGGATCGGTGCTCGGTTTTCGAGAAGTAATTGTACCCACCTCTAGTACTTCCTCCATTTCAAATTGTAAGTCATTCTATCATTTCCCACTTAATGAATCTAGATAGATATATATATCTAGATTTATTAACATTAATATGAATATGGAAAATGCTAAAATGACTTACATTGTAAAACGAAAGGAGTATTATCAAACAATAATTATTCAAAATCCTATTAAATATATTTCATGTAGGATTTATTGACATGATATCCTATTCGTATGATTTTTCTCGTGTGCTTTTAAATCATACGTTTTAAAGTAGCCCTAAATTTGATCGACCGGTTATTTCTAGTCATCCCCATTTTGAGAAGCGAACAGATGAAAGCGTTCGTCAAACCACCAGCAATACATGAAAAAATTGTTTTCTAAAAACTTAAACAAGAGTACAATATATACCTGACATTGCACGTCGATTCCTTTGCTCTTGTATTCCACGTAAAGGCTCCTCGAGAACTCAGCAACGTACCTGCAGCGTAAGTGAAAGTACAAGAAGAAAAAAAAAATTAAAACCAGCTAGCATATGGAATTGTGGATACAGAACATTGAATCCAATTAGAGCAGTATACTGGACACTCCAATTATATCGAGTAGTACTAGCTAGTACTATATTTAATACATCATTATTAAGCGAGTGTACTCCATATATCAGGATATGATGCATTGCTCGTCAAATGATTTAAATCCAACATTAATTAGTCTGATGGCATTGGGCAGATACTGAAGTCATTAACCATCTTCAGATACTGAAGAACACAAGAACACCGTTCAATTAGTCTGATGGCAAAACAAATATATTTGCCCAAACTGCTAGCTATTATTCAAAATTGCCGAGATTAATATGCTTTTATATATACTATTAGAATGCACAAAAGTAATTTTTGTGGGGAATATTAGTAAGACACAAACAAAGATAATTAGCATTAATTAGTATACCGTTTAGTGGCGGCGTAGACGGAGTAGAGTGGGAAGGAAGGGATGGCCTCCGTGGAGCCGGAGCCGATGTTGACGACGGCGCCCCTCCCCCGCGCCACCATCCCCGGCAGCACCGCCGCCGTCACCTCCGTCACCGCCCACAGGTTCACCCGTATCATCCTCACCCACGCCTCCGCCTCCGCCTCGTGCAGGTACACCGCGCACGGCCGCGCCACGCCCGCGTTGTTCACCACCACCCCGACGTCCAGCCCCGCCACCGCCTCCCGCAGCCGCCGCACCGCCTCGTCCCCCTCCGCGGTGGACGCCAGGGCCAGGTCGAACACCACGCTCCTGGTCTCCACGCCTCCGTCGCCCAGCTTGGAGATGGCCTCCGAGACGTCGCGGAGCTTGGCCGGGTCGCGGCCGACGAGGACGAGGTTGAGGCCCCGGCGGGCGAGCTCCAGCGCCACGGAGCGCCCGATGCCGGACGTTGGCCCCGTGATGACGGCCCAGGCGCCGTAGCGGCGGCGGAGGTCGCGCGGGCGGCGCAGGCAGAGGCAGAGGTGGGAGGCGAGGCGGAAGGCGAGTGCCGCGACGTGGATGGCGCCGACGATGACCAACGCGACGAAGGGCCACGGCGGCTGCTGCTGCCGGAGGACGGCGTCGGCGGCGGCGGCGGCGGCGCTGCCACCCATCCTCACTCTCGCCGCGGATTGAATCGAGTAGCCGCCTGGATGCTGGATCTGCCTAAGCTGGAGTAGTTAGCAACGGCAATATAAAGGCAAAGCTGGATATGCTGGAGCGAACGAGCGAGATTAATCAGTACAGTACGCTACATTATCCAGTGAATAGTGAATTAGCACGGTGGTTTTTACTGTTTCTATACTGCGGCTACAATGAAAAACTGCAAAAACACTGTTCTTCACTGTAGCACCAGACTCATTTTGGGTGTGTCTAGTTCGCGTTAAAATTGAAAATTTGATTGAAATTGGAACAATGTGACAAAAAAAAATTGAAAGTTTGTGTGTAGAAAAATTTTAATGTGATGGAAAAGTTGGAAGTTTGAAAAAAAGTTTGGAACTAAACAAGGGCTTTACTGTAATTCCCTGCCGTTCGCTTGCAAAGTTAGAGGAGCCGGATCCCTTTCCAATAATTGGGTTAGCGAATGGTGACGGCTGAGTTTGTTTAAGGCCCTCTTTAGTTCCCAAAAGAAAAACTTTTCACCCGTCACATTAAATGTTTGACATATGTATAGAGTACTAATGTGGAAAAAACAATTATATAGTTTGCGTGTAAATCGTGAGTCGAATCTTTTAAGCCTAATTGCGTCATGATTTTATAATGTGGTGTAACAGTAAATATTTGCTAATGACAGATTAATTAGCCTTAATAAATTCGTCTCGCAGTTTCCTGACGGAATCCGTAATTTGTTTTATTATTACACTACGTTTAATACTTCAAATGTATGTCTGTATATCCGATGTGACAATCAAACTCAAAACTTTTCCCCAACTAAACAAGGCCTAAGTTTGTAAGATAAAAATGATCATGCTCTATTAATACATAGTACAAGACAAAGATAGTGTCCTCTTTATTAAAAAAACAAAGAGAAAAGGAAAATTTTGGTTTTTTTAGCTGTTTCGGCATCAAACTCTATTTTTTTAAAAAAATATGTATATATCCAACTGCAACTATGTGGATTTATGTTTGCCTCTTATCCCTCTCTTGCTAATAAGTAATCTTCCGCACGAAAAACGGAGCGGTCCGTTAGTGCGTGATTAATTAAGTATTAGTTATTTTTTAAAAAAAATAGGAAAATACGATTTTTTTAAGCAACTTTCGTATAGAAATTTTTTTAAAAAGCGCACTGTTTAGCAGTTTGAAAAGTGTGCGCGCGGAACATGAGGGAGAGGGGTTGGAACACTAAGCAAATAACACAGCCTAATTTTTTTAACACCGAGCAAATAACACATCTCCACGCCTCATATCCACGCTGGATTCAAAGTTTGTTTGTTAGATTATATTGGTTTAATTTTTTTTATCTCATCCAAAATAGGGTCAAAATGGTTCTCCAAATGTTATTAATATAATCGAGGATCCAAATTCATAGATCCAAGAAGCTACAAATATCCAGTTTCAAGTAATCTTGGATCTAAATTTGTGACTAACAGAACCTTAAATAATTTCAGCTAGATTCGTGGGGTAAAAAAAATTAAAGAAAAAAGTATGAATCATCCCCCACCTCCCTGAATAATTACGACAGTACAAATTACCCTCGAACCACAAAAACAGACATTTGATACCCTAAACTATTGAAACTGGACAAATTACCCCCTTGACTCAATCCGGAGTGGTTTTGCTCCTACATGGCATACACGTGGCACCAAGGTGGCAATCCAATCATAAAAAATAATAAAAAACTATGGGCCCACTTGTCATGTACTCCTACCTCACCCCCCCCCCTCTCTCTCTCTTTTCTCTCTCTGCCATAGAGGAGCATGGCGGGCGCGCGGGGAAGGCGGGCGGCGACTGCGAACGTGAAGCACGGGTGTCGGTGACGGCATCCGTGGCGGCGACACGCGAGATGGAGCTGCGCAGGAGGCGGACGACAACGAGGAGGGTCGTCACCGCTGCTCCTCCCTTGCCCCTCTCCTTCTCTTTCGACTCCCTCCCATTTCCTGCAGTGCGTCGGTGGTGGTTGTCCGGGTGGAGAAGGCGGTGGCGGCCCAGGCGGAGAAGGCGGCGATGTCAACAGTGGTCCGGAAAGAGAAGGTTGCGGCAGGGAAGGGTGGGCGGCAGGTGTGCGTGCAAGCGATCGCCGCCTCCGCTGCTGACCACTCGGTCCGCCTCCTCCCCGCGCCTCCGCCACGGCCGCCGACGTGCACACGACCGCCCCTTCTGCCACTCCCCGCCTGGCCTGCCACAGCCCCATCCCATGCACTCCACCACGCTGTGCGTGCCACCATGAGCGCTAGCGTCTGCGCCGACCGTCTGCCCCCGTGCCGCCGCTGCACGCAAGAGAGAGAGGAAGAGGGGAAGAGTAGTGTGACCAGTGTATCCTAAATTTTTTTAATAAATAAAATGCTGACTGGATTGCCACGCGTATTTCACGTAGAATAAAACCGCTCTAGATTAGATCGGGGGGGTAATTCGTCCGGTATTAAAAGTTAAGGGTGAGCAATGTATGGTTTTTGGGTTAAGGGGGTAATTCGGTCGACCGCGATAGTTCAGGGGGTAATTCGTACTTTTTTTCAAAAATAAAAAGGCAATAACTATCATACCTCATAGCCCCTTTGAAATAAAGAATTTCTGGAGGAACATTGGATCCTATTGAAAATTTTACGATTTTGCGTTTTAAATAAAACGTTAGACAATTGGAAAGACTCTATGTCGAAATTATTAAGAAAAAGGTGAGCATATCCAGGGTCAAACACGGGTTGCGTGGAGCACAACGGCTGCACCTCGCCATCTCCATGGTTCTTCGCCGGTCACTATGGATTTGTTACTTCACCCTATGTTTTTCATTTAGTTAAAAATATTATTAGTTGCAAAACATACGCGAAAAAATTAGGACGTACGCTGCTGCGGTAATCAGTTGGCCTAAAACACTATTTTTCAGGGAATCATTAGCCTAAATACTCTATTTTCATTGCTTTCTAGATCCACAATTAAAAAAAGCAAAGCCCATAAGCCCAATCAGCCACTCCCTCCCACTCCACACAGCTCACAAACCAAGCAGCTCACTCACCAGGTAGTCTTTCATCTCCTCTACATTATATTTTCTTTAAATCTGTTATCCGCTTTCCATGGACCACTGAGATTTTGTTTGAACTGGAATGTGAAATCAATGAGATTGAAGTCATGTTTGCTAATTGATAACCAAAATATAAAACAAATAAATTCAAAAGTTTTAATCAATGTCCAAACAATTATTCAATAATTGGTTGGTCATATTTACCGAGCAAGCCATTTTGTTGAAAAATGAGCAACAATAATGTAATCGCATGTTTTTATGCTATGAAAATATCTCATGAGATATTCTTGCTATCTATTTCACTCGAATTATTTAGAGTATTCTTTAGAAATTTAGACCTGCTATGTATTTATGTGGATGTAGGCTGCTAGAATCAGCCTGCAAATTCTCGTAGGCACACTCAATATGGAATTTCTTGTCCGCCACTGGCAAGCGGCGCAGACAATAGGAATGTAAACCATTTTCATTATCTTAAATATTCATAAAACAAGCAATTGATAATTGTCAAAATTGTGAATTTATTTATGCTATAGAATTAGTTAGTTTTGCCAATAATTGGCTCTATGCTTTTTGCTTAAGTTTTCGTTATATGAAATTATTATATAAGATCGACTTCTAATTTCTAACATGTGTATTGGCATGTGCCCATGAGCCCATCGCTATAGACTGCACACAATTCACATTTGTTCGTGCGTGCACTGAACCTGCCTTGGGAAGGATGTAGAGGCAAAAGAAAGGCTCATGTACCTATTTTTTAAAATAATATTATTTTAATGAAAATCACAGAAATGATGGCTGGCCGGAATTTTTTCGCCAAAATAGAACCCTGCCGAATAGCAGTTCGACATGATCCTATTGAACAGCGGAGGAGGGATGGGAGGAAGCTTTCGACAGGCCCTGTCAATCAGCAGCAGTTTGACAAGGTCCACATCTGGTAGTGTGCAAGACCTGTCGAATTGTGGTTGCTCGACAGGCCCAACAATCAACCCTATCGAACTGGCATCTTGACAGGGCCCTTTATATGTTCCACTCATTTTCATTGAGGCCATGTAAACATAAACATGCAATCGATATAGTGACTATCTCACATTATGTACAAATGTCATATGGCAATGAACATTATCTATTATCTCTGTTCTAAAATATAAGGGATTTCAGTGATACAAATGCATAGTAAACATCTCTTTTATATTTTGAGACAGAGGTAGTAAGACAATATTTCTTAACTCCCGTGACTAACACTTTCCGCTCTACCCTTTACTTCTCTCCGCACAGTGACGGATTGATGTGACCGTGACAACTGTGATCAAAATTAACATTTTCCTCTTAAAAAAGCAAAATATATACTACATCCGCCCCAAAATATAATAATTTTTAGTTACGATATCCAGATTCATATGTAGAAATACTTATATTTTAGGTCGGAGCGAGTATTATTTAACTACACGTATTTTAGGATGTTGTTCAGCAACTGACTGCTGGTTAATTAAGCTCTATCCCACGATGGTGGATTGTCAGCCTTCTTGTAGTGGGTACGGATGACACCGGATGAGTCTCCTCTGACGTAAAGTCAGAGGGACTTTGTCACTGACGTGTGGGACCCACAAAGGTTGGGCCCACACGTCAGTGACCCACGTCCCTCTGACTTTACGTCAGAGGAGCGCGATCCGATGACACCTGCGGCTTCGAAAGATGGCTCGCTGCTGCAAGTGGAGCCGCAGGCGGTACCAGTTCAACACGAAATCCGGGGTGGATCTCATCCCCAGGAGCTGCACTCGGTGCGCCATGTTGGGCACGCACATCCGCCCGTGGCCGATCGACCGCACCGCCGCACGGGCGTACTCCTCCGGGGTCACCACGAACTGCGACAGAAAGATATCCTTCATGGCTCTCGATATCATGTTCGTCTCCACCAGGCATGGCACCTGCAGGAGATAGGGGAAGAAAAGTCATAATAGTATTGTTCATTGGGTCTAGCTTAGTTAATTTAGTTTCATTGATCTTTAGGTTGTATCACTTTATATAGGCACTTTTTTTCAGGTAGCCACAGCTGGTTAGATTGCGTAAAATTAAACAAGATCTAGGATGACTATTGATATGTGACATGCGAGAAAAAAATATTCACTCGAGAAATGAAAATCCATGTCCTAATGCTAACCTGGCATTGCACATCGATTCCCTTTCTCTTGTACTCCACGGAGAGGCCTCTTGAGAACTCACCAACATATCTGATTCAACAAGAATTGAACCAAACAATCCTTTAGTATCAATTAACAAGAAAAGAACGCGAATATGCATGTGTGGGTACGTACGCTTTGGTGCCGGCGTAGACGGAGTAGAGCGGGAAGGAGGGGAGAGCCTCCGCTGACGCCGAGCCGATGTTGACGACAGCACCCCTGCCCCTCATCACCATCCCCGGCAGCACCGCCGCCGTCACCTTCGTTAGGGCTAGCATGTTCACCCGTATCATCCTCATTAATGGCTCCACCTCCACCTCATGCAGGAACATCGCGCCGGGCTTTGCCACGCCGGCATTGTTCACCACCACCCCAACGTCCAGCCCCTCCACCGTCTCCCTTAGCGCCGCCATCGCCTTCTCACCTGCGCACCGGATATGGAGAAGACGATGGATCTCATGAACCATGAGTCTATGACACACCATGAACGCAACCACAAATATTAACTTATGTTATACTTTGAAACAAGGGTGGAGCTAAAACGAAATGGAGAGAGGTGCCACTCGCTTGCTTTACTCTACTTTAGACCAAATTTTGACTGATACGAGTGTCTGAGTTTGGATTGAGGGTACACATATGATAAAAATAGATGAACTATAGCTAAAAAAAATTTCTTGACCGGGTTACTGAGCAACCTGGCCCCCCACCTCTCCTACCTAGCTATATCTGCCCCTACTTCGAAACAAATTTTTCAAAATTTCGCCCCCTACTGGCAAGTACATATCCGAAATTTTCGGTGTTTTTCAAATTATTGTAAATTTGGTCAAATTTTATTTAAATTCATTAAAAATTTGTTAAATTTTCAAATAATTTTGGACAAAAAAATTACAGAGATTTCTGAAATTTTGCTGGAAAAAAACAAGTGTGTAACCCATCAACCTTGCACGGTGGAGACGAGGGAGAAGTCGAAGACCACGGTCTTGGTGCGCACGCCGTGGTGGGAGTGGGACCGGGCGATGGCGCCGGCGACGTCGCGGAGCTTGGCGGGGTCACGGCCGACGAGGACGACGTTGAGGCCGCGCCCCGCGAGCTCCAGCGCCATGGCACGGCCGATGCCTGACGTCGGCCCGGTGACGACGGCCCACGAGCCGTACCGGCGGCGGAGGTCCCCCCTGGGACGGGCGCGCAGGCCGAACGTGAGGGTGGCGACGAGTCGGAGGACGTCGGCGGCGACATGGACGGCGCCGAGGGAGGCCAGCAGGATGAGCCATATCGGCATGGCCATAATGTTGGAGAGCAATTAACCAGCTCGCTCTTAATTGTTTCCTTTATTTAGCTTATTAATCGTAGTTGTTTTCTGCGAGTGCAGTCAAGCCAAAACTTCCATCTGTATATGTGTACAATGATGCGCTTATGAGTTGTGATAATCATGCATTGTTAGTGCATCAGCAACTGTCTAAGTTTTAACAACCAACCAATTGTACAGTATATGGGAGTGAGTGACAGTTGCAGCAGATGTCACTGTATATCTGTTGTTGATGCTTCAACACCAGGCGTTCACATTTTTTTAATAAATCCGTTCCTTAAGTAAATATCTACTTCAAAATTCCATATACACTTTATTGACATGAAAGATTAAGTAAATATCTACCAGCATGCCGTATTGTTTGGAATTTAAATTAATACATATAAGATATTTTAGAGAAAAAAGTTGGGACCTCAACATCAGGGGTTATATGTCAAGTCAAAATATCTGGTGTTTCTGTAGCTTCAACCATAACATCTATTTTTCTGAAAAAAAACTCTTTTAATTAAATTTGACAGAACTACCGTATTTTCAAAGAATTGTCACATAAGCATAGATTTGAGTGCCAATACACCAAAACTACAGGTTTTCACTGAATCCACAACATTGAAGATATATGCTTTGTTTTTCATCTCTAAAATATGTTGTTTTAAAGATAAATTTGCGACTAAACATGTAGTTTTGCAATATTATAGCTTATTTATATATGTAGGTTTGTGATATATTTGATGCTAAATATTGTAGTAAATCAAAAGGAACTGAATAACGTAGATTGTAGTATCATCTATCACCACACAAAACTTGTAATGAATGAAGGCGCATACCTCTTTGAGAGCTTAACACTTTCCATTTAGTTCTTGTTGTCCTTTCAAATCTAGATGTGGCATGATGCTATATATGACCGTATGTTTCATATGCTAAAGTTCTCATTTAGATTGGAATTTATGGTGTGTATGAGAGTATGGAAAATATAAGGAAAATGATATTAGCCATTAATTAATGATTAATTGAGTATTAATTATTTTAATACTTAAAAAGATTAATATAATTTTTTAAAGCAACTTTCATACATATTTTTTTTAAAAAAAATACCGTTTAGTAGTTCGGTGATGTGCGCGTGAAAAAAGAGACTTTCTCTTAATCCACTACTATCGAACACAACCGGAAGGGTTTTGTGCTTGCACAATTTGTAAAACGCTTTAATAAATTTATGTATCAAGAACAATCTCAAAAAAAATATCATAGCTAAAGAAAATGGAAAAGTTTTCTTTTTTTTCTTACAAAAGATCACTCAAGGTATTAACCTTGTACTATACAAACATGCTCCATTTTTCACAGAAAAATCAAGAAATATATATATATATATATATATATATATATATATATATATATATATATATATATATATATATATATATTATTAACAAAAATACCAACAACAATGGATCAATTTCATTTAAAAAATATTAAATTTTTGGCAAGATTATTTTTTCTAGGAAAAAAATCCAATCTTTCTCAACTTTAATTTTTTTATTGAAGTTCAAAAGGCCGAAAATCCATTTTTAGCCCATGAACTTTACTCGGAGTCTGTTTTTCACTCTATGATTAGAAAGTTGTTATTTTTCACCTTAAGCTTTCAAAACCAAACAGAAACAACCTACGACATATTTTTAATAGTAAATTTCACTTCGGGCCACCTTTTATTACCGATGTTACATTTTGGACCACCCTTTAAGCAATATTTTCACTTTGGACTGGGTAAACCTGCCTTTGTTTTACTTTGGACCACCCGACTCTCTTCTCAAGCATATGAACGATCTCGATTACATCGTCTCCTACTCGTCAATGAACTGCCACAGCTATATGTAAGACTATTTCTTCGACATATTACAAGTTGGATGTAGATGGATAAAAGAGCAAGGGTGGTCCAAAGTGAAATAAAGGAAAAAATACCCAGTCCAAAGTGAAAACATTAGTCCTAAGGTGGTCCAAAGCGAAACATCGGTAATAAAAGGTGGTCCAAAGCAAAACATCGGTAATTGTTTTGTTTAAAACAGAGGTGTTTTCCTGGTTGATACTCTTATTGTGTGTTTTCTGTTGATGCAGATGTCACATTAATTAGGTCCATAACCATAAACCATATGTTTTTGAAGTTCATGTTGGTGAAATACATTGGCATAGCAATCAAAATCACCATGAAATGAGTTACAGGATCTTGCATATGTCCGGTCCTAAAAAGTTCCAGATGAAAAATGACCCCTTTTTTTTTTTGCTTCATGGTGAAAAATGGACTTCAAGCAAAGTATAAGGGCCAAAAATATACACATATTTTTAAAAAGTGACCCGTGTTATTTGTATTTCTTTGTTTTTATTTTTTTTCTGGATTTTCTAAATTTGATGGCAGTAGAAAAAGTGGCCCGCGAACGTCCGCGTACTAGACTAGACGCCCCCGTTTCTCGAGAGATGAGAGGAGATTTGAGATTCAAGGAGTGAAGCATAGGGGGTGGGTTCATACTTAAACTTTAATGATTCACGATAAAGATAATTTTGGAAGGTTTATTATTTGTGACGTAGGACTTCTTTCAAAAATGAATTGCAATTTAGACCAGATTTTATTGCCCTAGCAGTATATTGGACCAACACTTATATTTTTCACTTTTATGTAGGATTTGTTACCAAAACTAGCAATCTGTCTAAAGTGATGGGATTTTTTTTCTCGAAAACACAATACAGTTACGCTTCATTTCATTAAGAAGAAGAGACAATGTACAGCTGAGTCATCAAAGGGCCCCTCTAGAATCACCAAAACAAAAGAACATCACACAACATGACACGGAGTGACTTAAGCTCTAGCAATACACCAAACAGAACCCTTTCTAGCCACAGCATGCAAAATAGCAGAAATGCTTGGGGAGGCACTGTTGAAATCATTACGGTGCTTCCATAATGCACATGCCACTAGGATAACCAATTTAGTCCAAAGCGTAAGAAAACATAGTCCAAAATGAAAAGTCGTGCTAATGCATGACCGAATATGCACCTTGATAAAAAAAAAAACGCTTCAAGTTACATTCCCTCGTCACTTAAAGAATCGCTGAAGGTAAGTAATTTTTTTACACATATAGAGAAGGGAAGGGATGAGCAAAACTTAAGACAAGCTTATGTTTTTCATTACTCTGTATATAGAAGACACACAAACGGACACCACTACACACCAGCAAACCTGCGGGTGTGCTTCATGCTCTCTTAATACACATACCCCACTAAAGAGACGAAAATTAGTAGAAAAAAGAAGAGGTCTGAAGTGCTAAAGATACTACTCCCTCTGTTTAGTGTAAATATGTAAAAATGTAAGTCATGCTCAAAACACCTTTAATACTTGCAAAGTTTTTTAATAAGATGAATGATTAACGTTTATCTAAAGGTAGACGACATAATTATTAAAATGGAGGTAGTAGTTGGAGAGTTTACACTAAGGTGCTAGCAGAAGAGCGGTTTCATTTTCACCAACGTATTAAGAAAAAAAACATCATACACAAGGAAAGGACAGCTTTATTTCCACAATATGACCTTCAGATACATAAGTACGACAAACCTTTTCACCCCGTATTGATCTTAGTCTAAACAGCAACAAGCATGAGTAGGAGGGGTGTCACAATCTCTCTATCGTTGATCAGTGCTACATACAAAAATATTGCAAGAAAAATGAAGGATATATGATCAAGTAGTTGTCATCCTACTCAGGTTACCGGCCAAAACAGCTCGTTACTGATGACAAGAGACTCGAGGAGATAAATTTCAATCCACTGGAACCCCCAGGAAAGTAGGATATGGTGTAGTAAGCAAGAGATAGAACCTGTAACAGAAGGAGATGAAGGTTACTCACGAAGATATGGCCTATATGCTTCATGGCATTGTTTATGTGAAGGGATGAGGTAGGAGGGATGGGCATCATACTATCAAAGAACTATAGATCACCCCATCCAACTCAAACATTTAAAGTATTGAAGAAATGGAGAAAATATTATCCATTTAAAGCATGATTTCCACTAGTAGCCTGTTCTTAGAGACACAGAAGTATGCTTACTATCCCCTAGACTAGAATAACTATAAAATTTAAAGATAAAGACAAGTCAAAAAGATTTATTCAGAGGAAGGACGCACCTGAAGGACAGAGAATATCACTGAGAGGAAATAGCTGTGAAGAAACATTGACACATAAATGGTACCAACCATGCATCCAATAAGTGCCCCTGTAAATGGTAGCCTCTGAAGAGAACAGGCAGATTATTTTATTAAATCAACTATACGATTAATTTTAAAAACACAGGAGCACAAAGATATCACCCTGCAAACTATTTAACAAGTTTGAGCCAGGAGAAGCAGCCATTCAAAAATATTAAAACAATAAGATAAATAGTTCTTGAATCGTCATAAGATTTCTATTTTATCCACAATTTTGCATTGATGACCCTTGCATAATGTTTACAGGCCTACATGCGAGATTTGGAGTTTTTCATCTAGATGAGGATATGTAAATTTGTAGTACAGGTAAAAAAAAACAATACCTACAACAACTCTCCTTGATGACTTGGAGATATAAGAATTATATACTTCATTGCATATATGGCATGTTCGAAGCATCTATCAAGAAAAAGAAATGTTCTTATGGGCTTTGCAGTTGTGTGAATGTGCTAAACAATCTAATCAGGGAATTGCACTTAAGTCAAACTGTACGCATCTGTCTCAATTGTTTGCAAGCCAAAAGATGGTGAGAAACCAGTTATATTTGATAACAAACTGCAGAGCACAATATCCTGATTAACATTGCTGCCGCTACCACCCCTAACCTGAGCACCTGATCCACACAGCTTATGCAAGAGGCAGCAGAAGTAGCACCCTGTGACTATGAGGCTATGAGCCAAGGCCTCCGACTAAAGGGAGAGGGGGAAAAGTGAGTGGACTGACAAAGGGCGCATTAGTCATGAGGTAGCTGCAAATTCATGGTGGAGTGGAGGAAGAACCTGACTATGTCAAAAAAATGTAGCAACCACAGCAATACTAACTGGCCATGGACAGGAAAAAGAACTGTTGAATTATTCATAAAAGTTTTTCCCGTTTTGTTGGGGATGCAGAATAAGGTGCTGCCTCTAGCACTTCCATCCACTGTATTCTGGCTAAGTGGCTAACGTTTTAGTAGAACTGGTATAAGCAAAAACCTTACATTTAACTCATTGAAATCAGAAACCTTTTAGGGAAAAAGACTTCTAGTTCTATCCAGCTTATTAAGATGCATGGAAGTTTAGAAATCATTTTAAATTTGAGCCAAAATATATTCCTTCACAGGTTCCATATCAAGTTTTCCTTTTAGATTGAGCCAATATATTGTCTCATTCATATGAAGTAAAAAGGATGACAACATGTCTTCTTCAGTTGCACCTGATTGGAAAAGCCAAACGAACAGAAGAGGCTAAGCAGAAGCAGCCAAGTTAACATCATATTCTTGCATGTTGTTCAGCTCAAGTGCCAATGAGGCAGTGAGCACTCACTCGAAAGATCAAGGATCACTCTCTGCCATGACAATGTTCTCAACTAATACTGTTCACATTTCTTTTGGACGTGCTCAAATTAGTAGCGTACACCATACAGATTCTTCATTTTGCTAGATGTTTTCTTCCCTTTTTTCCTTCTTTTGGGTCTTAGGGTACTCGGATTCTTGCATTAAAGACTTGTGATAGTTAGAAAATCTAGGCTTGAATGCTTGATGCTACATGGATATTGGAGTATTTTTAAATGGCTTCTAAAGAAAATTTCTGTGTTGCTTGCTGAGTATAGTTCAGGAGACAAAAGAATAAAACATCTGGAGGTGCAGGTGCCAAAAGGTCAATGAGTTAGAAACGTTGTTGAGGTCAATGAGTAAACATTCAAGAGGTGAACCAAGAACCAGAAGAAGAGCTAAAGGTCCATTTCTATGCTTTCTAATCTGTGATTTTTTTCTGCATTCATAGGCTAGAGTACTCATGCAACCCATATGGAGAACAGGAGAATAAAAAGGGAATTTATAACCGCTACCTCCACACGAAAATTCCATCCAAGTACAAAATCCAAAAGAAGTGCACCCCATGATGGAAGGAATACAGACTTAAAGCATGTAGGTCCCTTGATGATAAGGAAAAAATAGCTTCGTTTTTGGGGTCCTATTCTGAGGAGTAAATGATGGTCTGATGATTACCGAGGGATTAAAAAGAACCTCATGAAAGGGACGTTTCGTAGGTGCCTCTTGTTCCATAAAGAAAAGCTAGTATGCACAATATATTTTTTCCTTTCATAAGTTTACAAGGTCCTATTTTGGAAAGGATCATAGACAAATCAATTCATATATGGAATCTGGATTACAACCATCCAAGAGGAACTAAGAAAAAAGAGCAGCAGTATTGTCTTTTTCTAGTCAATTCATCCAGGTTTTGCCTTCTGTCTCTTTTTTTTTCAAGTTGCACTGTTTTAACTCGTAAGTACATTTGGCCGTTAGAATCCATACTGTTCTGTCTAAACATTGCTTTAGTTCCTACACTTCATCGTATACATGGAATTAATTACGGACAACCCCATCCAAACAAACCTACAGTGTTTCTCTAATCTAGCAGAGAAAATTTAAAACACCATACAGGTAGTAAGTTATGCACAGAGTAGTTGTTTGTGCTAAAAGAACTCTTTAGATGCATGGAAGATAGATGATCTACAGCTGGGCTGAGGTGCGGGTGGTGGTGGGGTTTTTCTTCTCTTTTTCTATGGCTGGTGGCAAGAATATTTATATTACTGTTTAGTATTTACCTCCAATGTTGTTTGATAATAATGCGAATGACAACCTTTGGCTATATACACAGAACACTCATTGTGCTTGAGAGTTAACAGCAAAATTTGTGAGCAAATATTGCAGCTCCAAAACGTTAAGGCCCTCTTTGTTTAGGCTTATAAGCCAGCTTATGAGCCAAAAAAGTCTAAGCATAAACAAATAGGCAGTTTTTCATTTGGCTTTTTGAAAACCATAAGCCACTCTACACTATTAAGCCAAAAGCTGAGTTGAGAAGCTTTTTTTGGCTTTTGTGAGGTAGAGGTATGACTCCAACATTAAACTTACGACTTTCTATCCATTGGCTTATAAATCATATAAGTTAAAAAGCTGAGTTAAAAGCCTAAGCCTAAACAAAGAGGCCCTAAGCCAATTCGACCAAATTTGCGGTGTCAAATTGGGTGTTGGATTGTCTCTACTCCCAAAATTGAGATATAGCACTACAGAACAATTTAACAATCACCAAAACAATTTACAGCGAGAAGAATAATAATAATAGCAGCTGTACCTCCATGGAGGTCATGTGGGCGAACTGGCTGGCGGGTCCTTTGAGCGCGAAGATGGATGCGATGATGAGCCCGCAGCCGAGCGTGAAGCAGATGGCGAACTTCTGCGGCATGATCACCATGACGGGGAGGAAGAGCGCGAACGCGATGAAGACGAAGAAGATGCCGGTGGCGAGGAAGAGTCCGAAGTACATGAGCGCCTTCCCCGACGGGAAGCTGCTCGTCGCGCTCTGGAAGCTCCCCGGCAGCTCCCGCACGCCCTTGGTCACCCTGCATCGGAGAGGGGCGATCGCTTGAGATCTCGATCAGATCTGGCGGCGCGAGGAGGAGGAGAGGAAAGGAGAGGGGTGGGTGGGGTTACACGCTGAAGGTGCCGGAGACGGTGTCGTTGGCGGAGCGGACGGCGGCCTCGATGTCGAAAGGGAGAGGGGAGGAGGAGGAGGCGTCGGGGCGGGAGGCGGCGTAGGAGTTCCAGTCGGCGAGGAGGGACGGCTGCGACTCGCCGGCGGAGGCGGCGGGGGCGGCGGGGCCGCCGGTGAACCAGGCCTGCGCCGTCTTGTGCATCGCGATCCGCGAGGAGGTGCGCGCCGGCGGCGAGGCGGGGAGGAGGCGCGCGGCGGGGCGACGCGGAGGCGGAGGTGGTGGGAGTTAGGAGTAGTTAGTACAAGAACAAGAAGAAGATGAAAACGAATGGACTCGTCGGTGGTTTTCTTTTCTTAACGAAGAGGTTTCTCCTACTCTTCGTTTTCCTTCGAGTCTAATCTTTCATCGATTTTTTTATAGTAATGTTAATGCAAATTATAAAAATTGTAACGGTCTATTAATTATGAAAATAAAACAAACAATCTCTAAAAAGAAAAAAATATACGCAGAGAAATTCCAAACAATATTTATGAGTAAATTGAATGGTTAAGCATTATGGTAGTAAGTATTTTGTACTACCTCCGTCCCAAAATAATTGTATTTCTATGATTCAAACTTTGTCCCAAAATAATTGTAATTCTAGAGTACTAATTGCCCCATCAATCATCTCATTTAAATTTATCTCTATTATACCCTCAACCATCTTTCCACTCTCACATAAACACTATTTAATGAGGGGCACCATAGTCTTTCTTCTCAAACCTTAATATATGCTAAACAACATATAATTATAGTTATCTTGGGACAGAGGTAGTATAAAAGTTTTAGCCCGTGTAACGGTGCTAGGTATTGTACTCCTCTAAACAATTTAAACAACTCATTATTGATGAACTATTTAGAAGCTTCTTAATAAGCTTGTTATACCATTTATATATATAATTAGGAAGAAAGCCCGCACACATGTGCGGGCAATTTATTTACTGTTTATAAAAAGAATACTAAAAGAAGCCCTATCTCACCATATTCATTATAAGACCAACTTTTGAGTTTGGATGTGGACACCCATTTCTGGGTTTGAATATAGAAGAAGTGGGTTTGTTTTTGGGACGGAGGGAGTAGACCATAGATGTTAACAGTTGACATACTAAATGATATTGTCTTAAAATATGGATGTCATTTTAATAGATAGAATTACATCTATACCTAAAAATAAACCCAATGTGTCATTAATAAAAAAAAGTTCATCTCTACTTCATACCATGTCTCACATGTATCCAAATCTATATATAAATATTTAAAAATACTGCTTCTACCAATTAATAAGAAAAAAATCATATATGAATACCCCTCTAAAAGCTGGGTGAAGCCGATTGTAGCCGCTAAGGCTTTTTCCTTCGATGCCTTGACTCATGGTCCCGCATTGATATAGTCGTGCTCCTCAAGAAAAGTGTGGAGTATAATTTTGTAAAGGATTGTATTCGTAAATAGGTCAGTTGAGCTCTATTGTCAACAATAACCTTTTACTCGGACCACCTCAACTCAACAATGCGTACTCCTGCCATAGTTATTTCAACATAGCCGGTTGAGATCCACGCTTGTTGCCCTTTTGGGTATGAGTGAAAGAAAATGGAGGTGATGAAAATAGTTTTTCTAATATCTTGAGTCGATTTATTGTATAGAGTAGATATAATATAATTTGTTTATGGTGTTAATTGATAGTACAAATATAATTTTCTCTTTAAAAGTTAGCAGAGTTGATAATTCGATTCTACTTCAAAAAAAAACTAATAGATTCTGTGGTGAGGACCACGTAAAAAATATTAACATAATTGTGATCCTTTGCTAACATACGAGTTAATTTGGGTTTAGATTTTTTTTTCTTGTTTATACATTTATTCACCTATGCTTTGTTCACGGTGATTAATATTTGATGGAATTTATCAAAACTATTTGTGCTAATTGTTAACACAATTTGGATGAGAACGACGTTGAGAAAGGGGATATAATGTAGTTAAGTGTATGTTTTTTTTCGAATAGTAGTCTCTCGTATAGATTTTGTTTTTTCTTTTTCTTTTAATGAATATTTGTCTATCATAGGGATAGGGTGTACATATGTGTACTCATGCATTTATATGAGCTTATGAAATTGCCTTTTACATCGGTCAGCAACGGGTTGCGTGAGGCGGTGCCATGGCGTGGCTTCTTTTACTTCCTCGCTAGGAGTGGTTGCTACGTATATGCTCAATTTGGGAAAAACCTTATAGCAAGAAAAAGAAAAGTACCAAATGGGACAGATCATATACACACTCTGTTTTTTTCTTTTTATATACGCTGCATACGTATGTACATAGGAGTTGTGTATGTATGTATGGACGGATTAGACGGCCTTTAGGATAGAGGAACTACTGTCATATATCTAATTTAATGGTTGAAAATAATGGATCGCCAATTTTGAGTGCAAATCGATTTATAGATGTTTTGCTTTTTATATTTTTTTCTTAGATTCTCGCTAATTAGAGGGTCGCGTGACATCTTATAAGCATTTATAGGAGTGTAGTGATATCTTATAAGTGTTTATATAGGAGTGTAGGAATGCTATTACTCATAGCCGCAATCTACTTGTAGTCAACTATTGTTTGCGGTGGATTGGTTGCATACTCTACTTAACTATCATTTGTTGACCGTTATGCACTTAGTATTGCGCTTTATCTTTGTGCTTGATGACACACGTGCTCATTAGACGGATTCCTCATAACTAATATGAAATATGACTTGGCAATTAGTGGATAGTGGCTTGTATATAAAACTTACAAACATGGGATCAGGGAGGACATACAATTGATATTTTAGGCTATTATTGACCAATTATATTGTAAACTACATAATATGTGTTTTATTACTTAAGTAATAAATTTAAGAGTGTGTTCTAAAGTGTTTATAGGATTAGATACTCCCTAACTTGTAGCGAACACATTTCTCGAACGGCTAAATGGTGCATTGCATGGTGCATGTTATTCAAATACTTTCTATATATAAGTTTCTTTTAAAAAAATTTCATTTTTTTAATATTTAATACTCAATTAATCTTGTGGTAATAATCTATATCATTTCGTGTGCATGGATAAGCTCACTTAATGAGCTAGATCGAACGAAGCCTAAGTAGGACATTAAAAACATGGACATGATATCAAAATAATATAGTTGACCTTTAATTTCTAATAATATATAAATAAATAAAACTTATACTATATGAAAATACGTTCATGATAAATTTTGTAATATTATTTTGATGTAACATTATTTTTTTTATAGTAGGGAGTGAGTAATTTTAGGAATTAATGTTACTCACAACTGGAGTTTTTTTTTTTGAAAATACAAATCTAATTCAACAAAACATGTTATTAAGTGATATACAATTATATAACTATATAATGTATATTATTCATTTATTTAGATTATGGATATTTCGATGACATGAGTATAGTACAATACAACTGAAAAAAACTTATATTTGTACAACTATAAGCTGGAACTATTAATTGGTTTTTATCTCATGTGAGTGAAAAAAGGAAAAAAGAGGATGGACGTGGGGCACTTTGTGAGAAGTACATACTCCTATGCACTCCTAAGAACTATATGGGCTGGAAATTATGTATTTTGTTTTTTATGTTAATTAGTGAGAAAGAAAAAAAAAGAAAATGAGGGGCATGGGGCCCACGTACAAAATATGTACGTGCATGCACGTACGCGTATCGATGTACGGGAGCTGCTATGGCTTTTTGAAGATATATATAGTTGGTTTCTTCAGCTACATCTAACGGTTAAAAATAATGGATCCACCAGATTAAATGAAAATCAATGGTTGGATGTTTTGTCTTTTTTTTCTTATAATTTCTCTAAATTTCTCTAATTTATAAGAGCGACACATGGCGGTGTAGGAGTGTTTGTAGGGTGCCACATGGCGGTTTGGGAGCGTTTATAGGAAGTTTAATTTACTTTTAGTAGTATATAATAGATAGATAGATGTGTTGTGGGGTTAATATTTGGTCTTGCTAGTGTAGATAACATCTTTATCAAAATCAAGATAGGAAGGTATATCTAATTAAAAATCTCATTAATGAAAAAGGACAGCTCATATTTGTATCTTATTTTTTTAAGGACAAAGCTTTAACCTGGTATGACCTAAGAAGAAAATGGGATGCCATCCATGTCGTAATGGTCATCCATGCATCTTTTCCCCTGACTCTAATTCTAAGTTATACCCATAGATATTATTATATATCGGATGTTTTTTATCTAGGGATATTACTATATGCCCGACATCCGACTAAAACGTATAGATGGTTAAAATATTTCAATAAAAAGCTTGATGCAATATTTGATAAAGAGAGGTGAAATTGTTCATGGAATGGTATAATAGTGGCATATTTCATATGATGTTCGATACAATATTTACAACCAACGTGTGAAACACTACTTTAAACAATGTGTAGCATTTGATTTAAAGTTGTACAAGAAATCAGTGGAACGTCTTTCAAATAACTGATCCAACATCACAGAAGAAAGTGAAAATTTTATAAAATAGTACATGCATTATCTAGATAAAAAGGAATGAAACATTCTAATGCAACAAAAGTAAAACCATCAAAATATGCAACAATCATGCACCTACGAGTCTAAATCATATTCTTCCTCTCATCCAATCTCAAGATCAAGGTTCTCTTTATGTCCTTGGCACCATGTAGCCGAACAAAAAATAGACTGTGAGTACGAGTAGTTAGAATGAGTAGTGAGAAATGGAACAATAGTGTAGTCGTGAAGTGTATGTAATAAGGAGCAGTGAAAGGCTAGGAAGATGCATCTTAATTATAGCTTCGATGGTGCATGTGGTACAGAGCAAAAGAGGGTAATGTATAAGCCGACTGAAGATTCTTCACGCATTAGCACCCTTATGTCCTTGCCCAATAGCACGAGCACTAGCCCTATAATAGTAGTAGTAGTCGTTGTCATCAATGGTACTGTAGCAAAAAAATCTTTATCTTGCATGGAAACTGAAGAGTGATCAGGAGGAGGGGCAGGTTGTACTTTATCCTCAAAGCCTTTTTGCACGGCTAAAGTAAAGTGGATGGATAAGGTATGTGGAGTGTAGTGTGCTTGAGCACAAAACTATAGTGAAATGTCCGAACAACCTACGTCGGATGCCGAACAAGAAGCATTGCTGACAAACCATAGTGCTATTCACCATTTTTCCTAGCTATATGATTATCACAGTGCTATTTGTCATTTTGTTCTAGTTATTTTCTCCTTCGTTGCTTCACTC